AATAAAACATAGTTTCAGGTAGGGTAGCCGTGTTGGTCTGAAGGAACAGCACGAAGTTGAGTCCAGGGGGCACGCTTAAGGCCAACAAAGTTTAATTCCGGGTATCAGCTTTTATGGTGTATCTGAAGAACTGTGCACGGACTCGAAAGCTGATACCCAGAATTAAACTTTGTTGGTCTTAAAGGTGCCGCTGGACTCAGACTTTGTTACCTTGAATAAAACTTTGTTGGTCTTAAAGGAGCCAGTTTGGTGTCGTGGTTAAGTGTGCGGACTGTAATCTGGGAGAACCGGGTTTGATTCCCCACTCCTCCACTTGCAGCTGCTGGTGTGACTTTGGGTCAGTCACAAGTTCTCTCAGAGCTGTTCTCTCGGGAGCAGTCCTCGAAAGAGCTCTCTCAGCCCCACCTACCTTTACAGGGTGTCTCTTGTGGAGAGGGGAAGGGAAAGGAGATTGTAAGGCGCTCTGAGACTCCGAGTGAAGGGCGGGGTATAAATCCAATCCCTCTTCCTCCTCCTCCTCCTCTTCTTCTCTCTCCCTATCTATGCCATGCCAGCCTTAATTTACTTCACTGATACCCTTCTTTTCTCTCCACTGGGAGACCCAAAGTGGCATACAACATTCTCTCCCCATCTCCATTTTACCCTCTCAACAACTGTGCGTGACTGGCCCAAGGTCCCCCAGCGAGCTTCCAAACAGAGCAGGAGATTGCAACCGGGCTCCTAGTCGGCTGCTCTAACCGCTACGGCCAAGTCCATTTTCAAGGCTTACTGCATAGAAATCACTCACCCCGCCGGGAATCAGTTTTCTGTTCCCCTTACCCGTAGCACCATCCTGTTCGGATTCCTCTCTGCCTCCAGACCCGCCAGGAGATGCACAGTCCGTGAAGCTGGATATATATATGAGATCCCCCCCCCAAAAAAAAATCACATGTTTGCGCACGGCTGATTAACCGAGCCAGAAAGAAGCGGGGGCTGCGTTTTCAAAAGTACAAAAGCGGGCGGGAAGCGAAGCGGCGGGGAAGAAAAGAATTCTGCTCTCTCAGCAGATACGGGGATCCCAGCTCTAGCAATATCCATCCCAGCTCATGATTAGGGCATTTGATATGCTTTTTTTTTTGGGGAGGGGGGGGGAATGTTGATTTCCTGGTCAAAGCCGACTGCAGTTGGCAGACCCACCCGCTCCTTAGAGCTCTTTCGAGAACTGCTCGTGAGAGGACAGCTCCGAGAGAACTTGGGACTGACCCAAGGTCACACCAGCGGCTGCACATGGAGGCGTGGGGAATCGAACCCGGTTGTCCCAGTCTGCGCTCCGAACCACTGCACCCAACTGGCTAGAAAAGCTGCAGACTATTTCCTTGATTTGCCTTTCGAGTGTACTTGGCGATACTTTGGGGAGAAATCCAAAATGGATAGGAAGGGCTCGAAGACCTCCTCGCTCTCTGGCTTCCCCTTTGTCACCGGCTGACTCGGCGCGATCCTAAGAAGTGTTGCAGTCTTGCAAAGTCTGTTGAAGTCAGTGGCCTTAGTTGGGTGGAACTCTGCCTGGGATGGCCTGTCCAAACAAATTTTCTGCTTCACAGCTCCCTGGGAGTTCCAGACAGCAAAGTACGACAAAGCCCGGATTGTCCACGAAAGATTAGGACTTTGCTGTTCTCCCAATGCGGGCGCATTCTGCTGATGTCTCTTTCCAGTTCGGTACAATGCAAAACTGCATGTGACTCTGGGTGCGGGGAGCTGATTTATATCCCCCCACCGCATTAGAAAGGTTTGGAGGTTCAAATAAGTGAATGATTTCTAAATGAGCTGAGCGAGTGAAGAGTTTTAATCCATTTGGAAAAGCGCCCAGATCTAATAATGGATTATATCCGGGATTCTGGGCCTGAACTCGGAAGGGGAGGGGGCTGTGGCCCTGCGGTCAGAGCATCTGCTCGGCATGCAGAAGGTCCCAGGGTTCAATTCCCGGCATCTCCAGCTTAAAGAATCAGGTAGGAGGCAATGTAAAAGACCTTGACCTAAGACCTGGAGAAATGCTGCCCGTCGAGTGGACAATTCACTGCCACAGGAGGTGGTGGCAGCTACAAGCATGGGCAGCTTCAAGAGGGAACTGGATAAGCATACCGAGCAGGAGTCCATCGGTAGTAGATGCTTTTTGTTGTTGTTCAGTCGCACAGTCGAGTCCGACTCTTCGCAACCCCATGGACCAGATCACGCCAGGCCCTCCTGTCTTCCGCCGTCCTCCGAAGCCCGCTCAATTTCATGTTCGTTGCATCTATGACACTGTCCAACCATCTCATCCTTTGCCATCCCCGTCTTCTTTGACCTTCAATAGGGTCTTCTCCAGTGAGGGCTCCCTTCTCATTTGGTGGCCAAAGTATTTGAGTTTCAGTTTTATTATCTGGCCTTCCAGGGAACAGTCAGGGTTGATTTCTTTTAGGATTGACTGGTTTAATCTCCTTGCAGTCCAAGGGACTCTCAAGAGTCTTCTCCAGCACCATAGTTCAAAAGCATCTATTCTTCGGCGCTCGGCCTTCCTTATAGTCCAACTCTCTCAGCCTTACATGACTACTGGGAATACCATTGCTTTGACCATGCGGACTTTTGTTGGCTGGGTGATGTCTCTACTTTTTATCATGCTGTTTAGGTTCGCCATCGCTTTCCTCCCAAGGAGCAGGCGTCTTTTAATTTCACGGCTGCTGTCACAGTCTGCGGTGATCTGGGATCCCAGGAACGTGAGAAAAATGTACTGGAGTTATACCATTTTTTGGACTACAGGTGGAGCTATTGGGCAACTTAAAGACATGCCTCGGTTCGGCCCGTTGTGCGAATGTGGCCTTTGGCGTGAGCTGAAACGTATCCAGGGGATAAGGGAGAAGAAAGTCTGGGGCCTTTCCAGAATCACAGGGCTGGACACGATGTTCTGGGAAAGCTCCGGACAGTTCACACCCTAATCAAAACGTTCTCACTCTTTTTGTGTGTGTGTGTGAGGAATCTCTATCCAATATTTTCCCTCGTGCGGTGGACTGTCTCAGAGATTTTTATCGTCCCAAGTTGCTTGTCATACAGCTCACAGTCCTCCGTGGCAGACAGCGGGGCCAAATTGCCTTGCTGCGTTGACTTTTGAGGATGGAAGCGCTGAGAATGAGTTTCTTCTGTCGGCGTCCAAAAAAGTAAATAAATCACATCATCTTCCCACTATGAAGGGAGGGTTTTTGTTCTTTTCTTTTCTTTTTTTTAGTTTGCCACAAATATTGGTCAATAGATTTCTGCTTCCTCATAGTTTCCTGGCTATTCAGTCATGTGTTCTGCACAGTAACAAAGGCATCCGTTGCTCATCTTTTGTATGCCTACATTTCTTCTTCTTCATTCCAGGCTTGGCAGCTTTTTAAAGAATGTTGTTCCCAGAGTATGGGTTGCTGGATGTGCAAATAGGTCTGAGCTGTGGAGACAGATTAGAGCAAGGTCACAAAAACACTGTTGTTTTCCTTAGGCAGGAGACGCATCCGTTGCTCATCTTTTGTATGCCTACATTTCTTCTTCTTCATTCCAGGCTTGGCAGCTTTTTAAAAAACGTTGTTCCCAGAGTATGGGTTGCTGGACGTGCAAATAGATCTGAGCTGTGGAGACAGATTAGAGTAAGGTCACAAAAACACTGCTGTTTTCCTTAAGCAGGAGAAATGTGGGGAAGGAAGGAAGGAAGGAAGGAAGGAAGGAAGGAAACTCTGCATCTTGAAGGTCCATTCCAGTGTAGCTGGAATATATATGTGCATTTATACTCTGATGTGCTTCCCTGTCTTGGGACTTTAAACGGCTTACATAATAAATGCAAAATTAAAAAGAGAGATAGATTGCACTTTGCTGATTTCAGGAGTTCAACTCACTCGGGGCTACCAGTGACCCAGACCAAGAGCCCTTTGGCTCTTAACAAAGGCCTCTGACCATACCCAGTAAACATCTGAAACTGGGGAGAAAGAAACATGACTCAGTATGTAATACGTTGCTGATTTAGGGAGTTCAGCTCAATCAGGGCCACCAATGACACAGAACAAGAGCCCTTTGGCTCTTACCAAAGGCCTCCAGCCACACCCGGGCAAATATCTGAAAGGGAGGAGAAAGAAATGCAGCCTAATGTAAAATACGTTGCTGATTTCAGGAATTCAGCTCGCTCGGGGCCACCGGTGACACAGACCAAGAGCCCTTTGGCTCTTACCAAAGGCCTCTGACCATACCCAGTAAATATCTGAAATGGAGGAGGAAGGAACATAGCTCAGGATACAATACTTTGCTGATTTGGGGAGTTCAGCTCACTCAGGGCCACCAGTGACACAGACCGAGAGCCCTTTGGCTCTTCCCAAAGGCCTCTGGCCACATCTAGGTAAAGAGAATAGAAAGAAACTCAGTCCAGATCTTCGTCCCCAGTGAACTTAGTCCTGTGAGCCCCAGCGGTGGGGCGGATTGAGCAGCAGGAAACTCCACAGACCCTGGAGCTTCGGCACGCGTGCCGGCTTCTAATCTTTTAAAACCGTATTTACCCTCCCTTCCTGTCACCGCTGGATAAAGTATTGCTAAGATAAACGGGGCAGGGAAAGGCTACAGGTGGGTAAACAAAGGTGCCCCTGATAAAACAGGCCTGCAGTCTGGAAATGTTTCACTGGCATTGTTTCCTTACGCTTTGTCGCACCGCCCAGGTGAAAATTGCCTGCCCCCCCTCCCATTGGAACCCGTTTCTGTGCCCCCGTGGGGATCTGTCCCAACAGCGCCGAAAGTAAAAGAGAGGTTCGCGTTCTCAGAAAACGATCCGCGACTTTGGGGTTTCAAGCCTATAGTTAAGGCTCGGCTATAATTATCTCCCAAAGCCTCCCCTCCAGACCGTAGGAAAACTGACTCATCTCCGGGGTTTTGGGACGTGTCGGTCTTTCCAAGTCGTGGCTCTGTCATTACAGAGGGTCCCATAAGCTCATCGAGTAGGCACTCGCGTGAGAAGGCGGCTAAGAAAAAAATACCAGGCGGTGAGGATTCTGATTGTCTACCGAACGTGGAGCTGGGGGATTGTTGAAGGCGTCCCGCTGGAAGGCGTCCCGCTGGAAGTCCCCGTGAGGCGCTTGGAGCCGAAAACGAAGGGTTTAAGGTTGATTGACAGGCCCTTTATGAGGCCTTGACGCTTTATGATGCCTTTGCTCACAAAGGTCAGCATCTGCAGTACGCCCTGGCTTGGCCCAGGCTAGCCTGATTGCATCCAGTTTTTGGAAGCTAAGCAGGGTCGGACTGGGTTAGTCCTTGGATGGGAGACCGCCGGGGAAGGCTAATGGCCAGCTGCCTCTGAACGTCTCTTGCCAGTTTGGTGTCGTGGTTAAGTGCGCAGACTCTAATCTGGGAGAACCGGGTTTGATTCCCCACTCCTCCACTTGCACCTGGCGGATGACCTTGGGCAAGCCGTAGCTCTCTCAGAGCTGTTCTCTCAAGGGCAGTTCACTCAGAGCTCTCTCAGCCCCGCCTGCCTCACAAGGTGTCTGTGGTGGGGAGGGGGAGGGAAAGGAGACTGTGAGCTGCTCTGAGACTCCGAGAGAAGGGCAGGATATAAATCCAATCTCCTCCTCTTCTTCCTCTCCTCCCCCTTCCTCCATATGCAGCTGCTGGTGTGACCTTGGGTCGGTCACAAGTTATTTGCATTTATGTCCGCCCATCCCGCGGGCGGGCTCGGGGCGGGTAACGTCATTAGAATCAATTCAATTTCAGTTTAAAACATTAAACACTGAAGCAGGGACTCCTCTGCATATTAGACGACACGCCCCTAATGCGGCCAATCCTCCGAGAGCTTACAGAGCTCTTCTTACAGGGGCTGCTGTCAGCTCTTGGAGGACTGGCTACATTAGGGGTGTGTCACCTAATATGCGAAGGAGTCCCTGCTACAAAAAGAGCCCTTGTCAAACAATGGGTATTGGTTGGAACAGCATCTGTCAGCTATAAAGGTCTGGCCCCGATGGTACAATGAGTGAAAGGCTAGTTGTCGGTGGTCAGTAGACAGGTGACAGACGGGTGACAACAACCTCAGGGAGGCCGTGAATGGGCACCCGCCGCCTCAACCAAAGACCAGGCGGAAGAGCTCCGTCTTGCAGGCCCTGCGGAATTGAAGGAGATCCCGCGGGGCCCTGGTCTCAATAGGGGGCACGTTCCACCAGGATGGGGCCAGGACAGAGAAAGCCCTGGCCCTGGTCGAGGCAAGACGGGCATCCTTCGGGCCAGGGACCACCAGCTTCCAACCCGGCTATCCTGGGCTGTTAATGTCGGGCCCATCATCTACTCCTTGATCCTTTTAACTGGAGATGCCGGGGATCGAACCTGGGATCTTCTGCGTGCCAAGCGGAGGCTCTTCCACTGAGCCACAGGCCCTCCCAAGTTACTATCTATTCTCTAGTTGCAAATAGCCCCCTGACCTGGATAGCCCAGGCTAGCCTGATCCCGTCAGAGCTCGGAAGCCAAGCAGGGTCGGCCTTGGCTAGTATTTGGAAGGGCGACCTCCAAGGAATACCAGGGCTGCGACGCCGAGGCAGGCAATGGCAAACCCCCTCTGAAATGCCTCTTGCCTTAAAAACAAGTCTAGCTCATCACCTAGTGGGGCATGACGCTAAAAGAGCCGGAACTTCTGGCTGCCAGACAATATTAGGGTCTCCTGGCTATATCACACATAATGCCAGGCAGGCAATGGCAAACCCCCTCTGAAATGCCTCTTGCCTTAAAATCAAGTCTAGCTCGTCACCTAGTGGGGCATGATGCTAAAAGAGCTAGAACTTCTGGCTGCCAGACAATCTTAGGGTCTCCTGGCTATATCACACATAATGCCAGGTAGGCAATGGCAAACCCCTTCTGAAATGCCTCTTGCCTTAAAAACAAGTCTAGCTCGTCACCTAGTGGGGCATGACGCTAAAAGAGCTAGAACTTCTGGCTGCCAGACAATCTTAGGGTCTCCTGGCTATACTACACACACTGCCATACAGTAATAATAATTAATTATTATTATCAGATTGGCCTGCCCTGCCCTGCCCTGCCCTGGATAGCCCAGACTAGCCCAAACTTGTCAGATCTCGGAAGCTAAGCAGGGTTGGCCCTGGCTAATATTTGGATGAGAGACCTCCAAGGAATATCACAAGCATAATGCAGAGGCAGGCAGTGGCACACCACCTCTGAAACACCTCTTGCCTTAAAGACAAGTCTAGCTCACTACCTAGTGGTGCATAACGCTAAAAGAGCTAGAACTTTTGGCTGCCAGACAATCTTAGGATCTCCTGGCTATACTACACATACTGCCATACGATGATGATTGATGATGATGAGTTGTAAATACATCTGTCCACTCTTGGACAACGATGATGAAATTTCTGTCCAAAACATTCCTGTGATGCAAATGTATGCAATTGTTGGTAATGGGCCCATCTTCAAAATATATCATTCTGTCGCATTGACAAGGCACTTGGCTCAACATCAAGACACACAGAAAGTCAGCTGGCTTTAAGGAGTGACTCTCCCAGAGACTCATCTGCTGGAAAATTTAACGTTTGTGAAATAGCAACGATCATGTCAAACAATGTTAAAAACCTGGTAAACACAGTTGCCAGGAAAAAAAACCTCCCCCGAAGTTCGAGAGAACAGCTCTGGGAGAACTTGTGACTGACCCAAGGTCACTCCAGAAGCTGCATTGGTTCCGCATTGGCTTTCCCCTCCGTTGTTTTATGAAACCCGCCTTGGAACAGAAATCCCCCCCTCTGCATTGTATGGATTTTACGGTAGCCTCCACACTCCATGCCGCTTTCCCTTTCTTTGATCATCAGGTGTCATGGTACCACCTGCATAGATTTATGGCCATTCGGGGGTGACTCTGCAGTCCCCATGGCATTGCCCCCGGGGGTATCTGGAATGTGGTTTTGGAGACAAGAAGGAATCCACGCAGGAGGCACACAATGTCCAAGCATAGCCAGACTTCTGCTCTTTTTCCCCCGTGGCCTGTTTAGACCGACCTCCTTCTCTTCCCCCTGATGCATTCAGTGACTTCTGTCGTCTTAATCGGATGAGAAGCCGCTCCTTCCCTGCCAGGCGTGGGGCCCCGCCAGCCTTACGCATTCCATCCAGCTGTTCTTGCCACTCCCAGGTGTTGTAAGGACCTGCAAAGCAAACCCGGGACTTCGACTCTTCGTAAATCAGCAGCTGGAGAAGTTGGGGGGGGGGGAGAGAAAGGGGAAGGCCTCACAGGGGGAGAAATAACTCACTCCCCATAACCTATCGTCCTGCCGACATCTTCTCGGTTGGAAACCCAAGTCACGCTGAGATAAAAATCTGTTCTTTCTTACTTGGAAGGGCATAGAGACACGATAGACTGTGAACTGATTTAACAGGCGTTGGGAGATATTTGGGAACCGTAGTTGGGGTGGTGGGGAGGGGGAGGAGGACGGGGATCGCGCATCGGGAAGCTCTCACGCCCTTTGCGACACTGCGACCCCCAGGTTTCTTTAGAAGGACGTGAGGTCTGACCTGGAAGGCCGAGGCTAGCCCCATCTCATCGGAGAAGCCAAGCAGGTAGGGTGCCAGGCCGGCCCTGGGATCAGAAATATCTGGAGATTTTGGGGTGGTGGAGCCAGGGGTCATTTCCTGCAGGAGTTGCACAGGAGCGGAGCACCGGCAGTAAAGAGCCCAGGGGGCGGGCACATGCAACAAGCCCCACCCCCTGCTCCCAGCAGCCCTCAGTCAGAGCATGAAGCAGCCAGGTAAGCTGCAGAGCCCCCGCCCCCCCGGTCCAAAACAGTCCAGTGGCACCTCTAAGACCAAGTTTTATTCAGGTACAAGCTCTCCCTCCTCTGCCAGGACAGATCTCCAATAGCTAGCAATCCAAAAATTCTACTTTGTGAGCGACCAACATTAAAGTTGTGGGCAGTCAGGTGGTTTGGCTGCTGCATAAATTAGTTTGCTCTGGACTGGAGCCATCCTTCCTGAGCCAGGACAAAAATGTGTGAGCCAGAGGGTAAAAAACTGTGAGCTAGCTCACACTAACTCCGATCTTTGTGTCTGGACATTACCTTTAAATCCACCAGGCACTCATGCCTGGTGCAGATCTAAAGAGCTGTCTGAACGGACCCAGAGAGTGGAAACTGAAGAGGAAATTGTCCCTAAGAGTGGCTTCCTACCTCAAAGGAAGGGATCATATAGCATGAAGGAAAGGATGCTCTGTGTGGCCTCCTGACCCGTGTTCGCCCTAAGCTGAGTTAGTGTGAGCTCCCTCACAGTTCTCTTAGCCTCTGGCTCACACCTTATTGTCTTGGCTCAGGAAGGATGGGCTCCAGAGCAAACTAATTTATGCAGCAGCCCAATCGCTCACTCACAACTTTAATGCCAGCAGCTCACAAAGTAGAATTTTTGCTCACAAGGCTCCACAGCTCTTAGAGGGAGCATCGGTCCTGGCCTCTCCATCTGTCTACACTCTTTGGTGCCATCTTCTCGAGTTTGAACCAGAGCTGGCAACACTAGTTATAACTTATCTCCAGAGTCCCAACATTCCCTCTAAGCTGTGGAGTCTTGTGAGCAAAAATTCTACAGTTTGGTGTAGAGCCAGTTTGGTGTAGTGGTTAAGTGTGCGGACTCTAATCTGGGAGAACTGGGTTTGATTCCCCACTCCTCCACATGCAGCTGCTGATGTGACCTTGGGTCAGTCACAAGCTCTGGCACAGCTGTCCTTGAAAAAGAGCAGTTTGTGTCAGAGCTCTCTCAGCCCCACCCTCCTCACAGGGTGTCTGTTGTGGGGAGGGGAAGGGAGAGGAGTTTGTAAGCCGCTCTGAGACTCCAAGTGAAGGGCAGGGTATAAATCCAATCTCCTCCTCTCCTCCTCCTCCTTTATGAGCCACTGGCATTAAAGGTGTGAGCGAGCGATTTGGCTACTGTATAAATTAGTTTTCTCTGGAGCTATCCTTCCTGAGCTAAGACAAAAATGTGTGAGCCAGAGGCTAAAAAACTGTGAGCCGGCTCACACTAACTCAGCTTAGAGGGAACACTGCTCCAGACGACTGAGATCAGTTTTCCTGGAGCAAACGGAAGCTTTGGAAAGGTGGACTCTGTGGG